TCTCTGTCTGTGATATGTCCTGTCACAATTCTCCTGCTCGGTTTTTTGAGACAGTGTGTCATGCTATATCTCAGGCTGTGCCTCAGACCCTCAATCCTCCTGTCTCAGCCTCACAGAGTGCTGGGATTACAATCCTGTGCCACCTCAGTAGCTTTGTCTTTGTTACTAGGAGTTGAATTTAGGACCTTTACACTGAGCCACTGAGCTATATCTCCAGCCTGCTTTTTTTTTCTTTTTTTAAAAATGAGATAGGGTCTTGCTATGTCACTAAATTGTAAAGGCTGGGCTCAAACTTGCCATTTTCCTGCCTCAGCCTCCTAGAGTGCTGAGATTACAAGATTTGCCATCACACCCAGTCTGTCACATACTCTCAATGCTCTTAATGCATTCTGGGCTTTTCCTCTTAGCAGCTACCACATTTTGTAATTACACATCATCCACTAATGTCACTGTTTGACCAAATGCCATCTTCTGCAACTGAATGTCACCTCTAGGGGAGCAGAGGCCATACATTTTATTCATGAACGCATATGGCTCACACAGAGGTATGATCTTGGATGACAGACATTTTCAGAGTGGAAACTTTCACATGCCTTCCTTCCTTGGGTTTCAAGTGTCCGATGAATTGGGATTTCTCTCAGGGTCTGCAACCTGAGTCCTGAGATAATGCGCAAGGACATCACAGAACTTTACTGTCTTTTTTCACTCAACTGTGACAGAGGCTCAGACTTGAGAGTACCACCTGGCTGGGAAGCAGGAACTTAACTGCGACCACAGTGGGAGGAAGCTGTGCATGAGTGAGGTTGCTGGGGTAAAATGAGGTTTGCAAATGATGGGGCAGGACACGTACACAGAATCAAAATATAGGTTGCAAATCCTGCCGAGGAAGACCAAAAGGGAAGTGTGTGAGAAGCAGGGCTGGGCGCTGGCTGGGCGCTGGCGGAGCGCTTCGGGAGAGGCGGGCCTGGCGGCTTTGTAATCTGCCACATAGCTTCTGTTTTCAGCATCTGCTGTAAGCAGATGGTGTGCCTGGATCTCTGTCTGGTTGAGCCAAAGAGGGAATAAAACTTCCTCAGTCTTTGTACAGCTCCTGTCTGGCGGGGCGCAATTAATAATTAGCACTCTTCTCCCACCCCTCCCCTCTTACCAAAAAGTCTTATCTTTAACCCCTAAGTAGAATACATTGATATCCTGGTCGTATACTGAACTGGGATTTTCCCTCAGCCCTAAACTTTCCTCCTTCCCTCCCTAAAACTAGCCCTACTGAAAGGTTTTCCTAAGTAACTGGTCTTTCATAGATATAGTAATTCTCCAACTTGAAGAACAATCCCATTAAAAGGTGAAAAAAAACTTTCTTGAATTCCTTTATGCTCATGGGGATTTTTGTTGTTTTGTTTTGAGACAGGGTCTTGCTTTGCAGTTCAGGCTGGCCTTGAACTCACTGTGTAGCCCAGGTTGGCCTCAAACTCATGGTGACACTCCTGCCTCAGCCTCCCAAGTGCTAGGATTACAGATGTGTGCCACCATGCCAGGCTGTTCATATTATATTTTCATGATAACTATATTGTTTAAATAATATAAAAGCGTGAGTCTGGGTCCTTATGCTTCTAGCTTCTGTCCAGCTATATCAGATCACAGTTTTAAATTACAAACAAAACTACAAAAGTTAATGAAATAAAAATTGACATGATTAATGATGATGTTTGTCATTAACTTAGGAATGACAGGTGATGCTTGCGTAAAGCAAAATCAGCAATATGAATATCAAGGTGATAGGTACAGGGCAAAAAAACTCCTTTACCCGGGCCTCCGCACACCATTTGCTGAGCTATATGACCCAAATCTCCCACAATTTCCTTTTTTTCTTCTTTCCACCACGGTGTCATTCAGCTTAGAGTCAGTATTAGTGGATCCTTCATACAAAAAAGCCTGTATGTGAATGGTCACAGCAGCGTTATTTGTAATTGTCACAAAGTGAGAACAATCCAAATGTCCATCAACAGATAAACAAAATGTGGTGTATTACCTAATGGAATGCTATTCATTCATAGAAAAGAATGAAAATAAAGTTATTTTAAGGCTCACTTAAAGAATGAACTCTAAAATACCATGCAAAAGGTAGTCGTGAAAGATCACTTATTAAATGTTTCCATTTGGGTAAGTTCACTGAAATAGGAAATAGACTAACGGTTGCCAGGAGAGATAATGGTCATGAGATGAGAATGTTCTAGAATGAGATAATAGTGACGGTGGTTGTGCAACTTGGTGGATACACACACACAAACTAGAACGTACATTATTTATTTATTTATTTATTATTTATTTTTTTATTGGCGCGCTCAGGATTGACCCCAGGGCCCTGTGCATACTAGGCGGCGCATACATTATAAAAAGGTGAATTTTTGCTGTGAAAATACACACCAATTAAAATTAGACTTTTTTTTAAATTGGAGAGGTGGACAGTTCTCACAGAGGGCTCCCCTCGGCCTAGGGAGAATGGACCGAACACAGTAGCACCAAACAGGACCAAGCCCAGGGCCAGCCACTCCTCCGTCCCCCAGGGCCGTGGCCCTCACCACACCCCTGGCAGGGGGAAAGCCTGGTTTGCGGAACGCTGATTGGCTGAATCCTAAAAGGAGGCGGGGAAATAGGGGGCAGCAGGTCCTTCTTGGCAGGGCGGGGCTGGGCGAAGCCTTGGCTCGCGAGATTTTGCTGTTCCGCATTTCAGGTCTGCGGGGTGGGGGAAGCGGGAGAGGCGGCCTCCGCGGTCCGCAGCGGCTCGCAGCGGCTCTGACCCGGCTCCGAGCCCGGCTTCCGCTGTCCGCGAGCCGAGGGACTGTCCGCTGCCTCTCGGTTCCCGCGCGGGTCCCGAATCCTGACCGGGGCGGGGGCCAGCGGCCCCTTCCCCGCCTCCGAGGACCGAAGATGAGCTTCCTCTTGTGAGTGGGGCCGGGCCGGGGCGCCGGGCTGCGGCCGAGGTCGGGGCGGGCCCGGGGGGCAGCG